CTCCTACCCCCCACCCATGCTCCTACCCCCCCAAACTATGCTCCTACCCTCACACCATAAGTCCCTCGCGACGTGCACTTCCAAAATTAGTTTATCCGATCATTAGTTGTCTTTTTTCCTACCATACATTATCATACCCTAGCATACCTTATCCTTTCATACCCTAATATATTTGTTTCATTGCCAACATGGGTATCAAGGAGGGTAGAAATAACCTAAGCTACTCTATCCCTGTGAGATGTATTTTATTGTCTCAATAAACGTACTTGAACTTGAATGGGTAATGTGACGGCATGAGAGGGCTCCAGGTGAGTGACGGGTCTTAGCTGCTGCTGTAACCAAATCAAATCAAAATCAAAATCAAATATTTATTCAGGTAAAGTACATACATACAAGGTGAGATACAAAACGTCGAGTGATTTATAGAGCTAGTACACACAATGCCTAAAGCCACTATTACGCAAAGCGTTTCGGGCAGGAAAAACACTAAGACTAAAACTTAATACTAATTGAGATTAAAGTATAAACCCGTCACTATCTCCATGCTACTGTCTGGATGCCTGTCTTACTATCCTGGAGTTACTATCTCAACCTTGCAATTTCCAAACGCTACCAAATAAGCAAGAAAATATTTTAGGTGTTAAAGATTCGCTACCTGGAACAAAAAATTCCAAGTAGCACGGGCTATATTTTAGTTGAGTTCTCCCTTCCCCATAGAGAAGTGTAAACAGTTGATGTTGTAAACATTGATCTCAGCAAGTTCGTGTTTACAGCGACACAGCAAGAGGCACAGGACACAGCCAGGCCGTGTTCACAGTGACACAGCAAGAGAGACAGGACACAGCCAGGCTCTTGTGCTAACATCAGAAGAGAGCATCATTGATCAAATTAATGTTGGGGAAAAGCTAACCCCTCATGTGATCATCATCATATTTTAAGATGGACTACAAATATAGAAACCCACAAAGGCTCATGATGATGAATTTCTAGATTAACATCGAGGTGACTATCAAGGAATGAGAGAGGAACTGCAAATGGAGGGATCAAATAGGTGAACATGGCATGGAAGCATCTTGGCAAAACTTTAAGATGGTCATCACGGAACTCGTTCAAAAAGATGTGACCAAAAGGAGAAAGAAAAGAAAGGTAACTAGATGGAGGACACAGGTAGTGAAACGAGCATTATAACCAAGCTGAACCTTTGCAGAACCTATATATCCACGATGGACATCATTGATTATGAGATATATAAAAAAGGACACTAAACTCAGCCACCCAGGAAATCAGATCAGCTAGAAGAAACTCTGAACGAAAACTTGCCTAAAACATTAAGAAATATCCAAAATCGTTCATTGCCTATTTAAAAAGTAAAACCAAAACAAAGAACCCAGTAGCACCCTTAAAAGATGAGGCTAACCAAATTATAATGAATAAAAGGGCAGCAAACACTTTAAATTAATATTTTACATGTGTTCACACTAGAAAGGTAAGAGGACATGTCACCATCCACACAAATGTTTGAAGGAGGTGAAGAAAATTAATTTAGGAATTTAGGAATACAACAATAAGATGCGAAATTAACAGGAAGAACATTGACAAACTAAAAGACTCGGCAGCCCCTGGAGTGGATGGACTATACTCCAAAGTCATAGAAGAACTGGTAGGAGAACTATGCCTACCCTGTAATTTATTTTCATAAAATCTCTGGACCAAGGGATAGTCCCCTTAGATTGGAAATATGCAAATGTCACCCCTATTTTCAAAAAGGAAGAAAGAGCTCAGCAGAGAACTACCGTCCGATCAGCTTGACATCACACATCTGCAAGCTCATGGAGAGAATCTTCAGGAAGGGAATGATTCACCATCTTTCAGTGAACAAACTTGTTAAATCGACACATGGGTTTGTTAAAAATTCATCCTGCCTCACCTGATTTACCTGATGGCCACTAACTATAGTGGCCTCAAAGGTCCCCCCCCCATTGACAAAGGTCCCCCCCCCATTGACAAAGGTCCCCCCCCCATTGACAAAGGTCCCCCCCATTTGCCTTGATGATATTTTCCAGGTAGACTTTAAAACTTAACACACTTTTGGCATTTACGGCTTCGACGGGTAGGAAGTTCCATGAGCCTAAACCCTGTGGGTGAAAAAGCATCTCCTGTTCTCAGTCCAACATTGTGGCTTGGTGAGCTTGGAACCGTTGCTCTTTGTTTGTGTTTAGGAGTGAGAACAGGAGATACTTTTTTCACCCACAGGGTTATTGACCCATGGAACTGACTACCCGCCGAAGCCGTAAATGCAAAATCTGTGTTAACTTTTAAAGTACAACTAGAAAAGATCATCAAGGCAAATGGGGGGACCTTCGACACGCCGCCGGCTTCCTGTCCTCGTCGAGGCCACTAATACTAGTGGCCCTCAGGTAAATTCAGGTAAATTACAGTGTTACTCTCCCTATGTTACTATCTCAATGTTACTATTACAATTTGACTACCCCCTGTGTTACTCTCCTGGTGTAACTATCACAGTGTTAGTGTTCTGATATTCTGATACAATTCTCTTGACATTCTAACACTGATTTTTTGGGGGAGAGTAATTTTATACTTCCAGTAATTCTGGTGGGAATACAGCACCAGGTGAGATAAGCAGGCAGCGATAAGGGCGTGTGAGAGTATGCTGTATTTCCCAGACGTCTTTCACTAAAGGCACTCCATCATCAGAGCCACACGTGCCACTACCAGCCACACCACTGCCAGCCACACCACTGCCAGCCACACTACTGCCAGCCACACTACTGCCAGCCACACCACTGCCAGCCACACCACTGCCAGCCACACCACTGCCAGCCACACCACTGTCAGCCACACCACTGCCAGCCACACACCACTGCCAGCCACACCACTGCCAGCCACACCACTGCCAGCCACACCACTGCCAGCCACACCACTGCCAGCCACACCACTGCCAGCCACACCACTGCCAGCCACACCACTGCCAGCCACACCACTGCCAGCCACACCACTGCCAGCCACACCACTGCCAGCCACACCACTGCCAGCCACACCACTGCCAGCCACACCACTGCCAGCCACACCACTGCCAGCCACACCACTGCCAGCCACACCACTGCCAGCCACACCACTGCCAGCCACACCACTGCCAGCCACACCACTGCCAGCCACACCACTGCCAGCCACACCACTGCCAGCCACACCACTGCCAGCCACACCACTGCCAGCCACACCACTGCCAGCCACACCACTGCCAGCCACACCACTGCCAGCCACACCACTGCCAGCCACACCACTGCCAGCCACACCACTGCCAGCCACACCACTGCCAGCCACACCACTGCCAGCCACACCACTGCCAGCCACACCACTGCCAGCCACACCACTGCCAGCCACACCACTGCCAGCCACACCACTGCCAGCCACACCACTGCCAGCCACACCACTGCCAGCCACACCACTGCCAGCCACACCACTGCCAGCCACACCACTGCCAGCCACACCACTGCCAGCCACACCACTGCCACCCACACCACTGCCAGCCACACCACTGCCAGCCACACCAGCCACACCACTGCCAGCCACACCACTGCCAGCCACACTACTGCCACCCACACCACTGTCAGCCACACCACTGCCAGCCACACCACTGCCAGCCACACCACTGCCAGCCACACCACTGTCAGCCACACCACTGCCAGCCACACCACTGCCAGCCACACCACTGCCAGCCACACCACTGCCAGCCACACCACTGCCAGCCACACCACTGCCAGACCCACCACTGCCAGCCACACCACTGCCAGCCACACCACTGCCAGCCACACCACTGCCAGCCACACCATCAGCATGATGTCCTGGTCTGTGCTACTGCTGAGCGTCCTGCTGATGACTGCTGCCGCCCACGACAGTGAGGAGGAGCAGGTAGGTCACGCTCACAGTATTAGGTACAAGATGGGTCCCTGATGGGTCCCTGATGGGTCCCTGATGGGTCCCTGATGGGTACCAGGTGGTCTGCATCAACCTGCATGAGTGTCTGTATCGACCTGGTGCTCAGGTTTCCCACACAACACTTCCCAGTCTCCCTCCCTCACTATAACCATTGTCACAACACACCATAGTCATCACAGTAAACATCTTCACACGCTCCCTGTCTCCACCCACACACACCCTCCCCGTCTCCACCCACACACACCCTCCCCGTCTCCACCCACACACACCCTCCCCGTCTCCACCCACACACACCCTCTACCCGTCTCCACCCACACACACACCCTCCCTCTCTCTCCACCCACACACACACCCTCCCCGTCTCCACCCACACACACCCTCCCCGTCTCCACCCACACACACACCCTCCCTCTCTCTCCACCCACACACACACCCTCCCCGTCTCCACCCACACACACCCTCCCCGTCTCCACCCACACACACCCTCCCTCTCTCCACCCACACACACCCTCCCCGTCTCCACCCACACACACCCTTCCCGTCTCCACCCACACACTTCAACCTCTTTTGTACGATCTGCGTGGTGTTGAGGTAGAGTACTGTTATGTCAGAGTGATCGAACACTCTGACTTTCCAAGGTTCGAGGCAGTTCACAGGAGAGTGAGTTCCTTTTCCTATCCCTGGTGATCGTCTCGTTGTGTGTGACGATATCATGTTCCTTGATGTTATAATGCTATATGATTATATGTTCCAAACAACAGGACTCCATCAAGGAGCTTAAGATAGATTTGTTCTTCTTTATAATAAGTTAATGTTAAGATAAGCCGGGAGTTACAATCTAAAGTTTTTTTTCGGATATATCTGGCCTTTATTAAGGTAATACTTATTAATATAAGTCTACAGTTTTATTTTTCGAAGTGAAAATTAAAGTTTTTATTAAATTAACACAATAATTAATAAGTGGGCTCTTGGTCTCCAGATTTATCAAATATATTTACAGATAGTTTTATTTTAACTCTACGGATGACTGATGAAAACACACAAGTTTATGGAAGATTTAATAAAATATATTTGCTCCTATGTTTTATTAATACAATAAACCTACTCCATATATATTAAAAAAAAAGTGGTACCTCTCACACGTACATGAAGGCGCTCAAGGGCCAGCTGACACGCTCACACATATATAAAAGGCGCTCAAGGGCCAGCTGACACCCGCACACGTACATGAAGGCGCTCAAGTGCCAGCTGACACCCCTCACACGTACATGAAGGCGCTCAAGTGCCAGTTGGCACCCCTTACACGTACATGAAGGCGCTCAAGTGCCAGCTGACACCCCTCACACGTACATGAAGGCGCTCAAGTGCCAGTTGGCACCCCTTACACGTACATGAAGGCGCCCAAGTGCCAGCTGACACCCTTCACACGTACATGAAGGCGCTCAAGTGCCACATGACACCCTCATATACATAAAGGCCCTCAAATATCAAACGCAACACTCATACGTTCATAAATGGCCCTAAGTGTGAGAAGACGCGCCCTTACACGTAGAGGAAGGCCCTTAAATGGCGACCGACCTGAGCATCATCGTGGACAGGTTCGCCTGAAGCCTTTGCTGCCATCTTGCCCACCATCCTGAGGAACTCCTCGGAGTCCCTTGACGGTCGCCAGGGCCTGGGGCTGCTCCAGTCGTAGGGCCCCAGGCGTAAGTAGTTCGGCGGGAATGAACGCAGGTCGTAGCCCAGGAACTTGGCCTGGCCGTAGTAGTAGCGAGGAGAGAGCCGCAGGTAGCCCGGGAAGTGGGCGACCCACGCCGTCAGGGAGTCCGTCTTCAGCCCCGTCAAGGTGTCGGTGCTGCCAAGGAGAGCCACGGGGGACATCAGTCAGGGGCTGGATGCGCTGTATTAGGTCTGGGTACTGTAGTGGGTTCATGGGTGGGTGTAATGATTTAGTGTTGGGTCTACTGGGTCCGGGACGGGTCTACTGGGTTCGGGACGGGTGTACTGGGTCAGGGGGGGGCGGGCGTACTGCGTCAGGGCAAGGAGTACTGGGATTTCTTTGTACTCTAATAGAGAGCGTTAGAAAATTTGTATTCCGACTAACGTCACCATGTAGAATTAAAATTTCAGCATCTGAACAGTCTTAATTTGCAATTGACTAAAACTTACAAGTTGCTTTACAATTATTGGTGAAGAAGGTGCGTGAAGTGCAGAGAAGACGAACATGGGAACACTGGCGGACACACACACATTAAAAGCATTAAAAGCACATTGGAAGCATTAAACATGCCAAAACTAGAAGACAGAAGAAAAAGAGGTGATATGATCACTACGTACAAAATAGTAACAGGAATTGATAAAATCGACAGGGAAGGATTCCTGAGACCTGGCACTTCAAGAACAAGAGGTCATAGATTTAAACTAGCTAAACACAGATGCCGAAGAAATATAAGAAAATTCACCTTCGCAAATAGAGTGGTAGACGGTTGGAACAAGTTAAGTGAGAAGGTGGTGGAGGCCAAGACCGTCAGTAGTTTCAAAGCGTTATATGACAAAGAGTGCTGGGAAGACGGGACACCACGAGCGTAGCTCTCATCCTGTAACTACACTTAGGTAATTACACTTAGGTAATTACACACACACACACGAGAGAGAACACACACACACGAGAGAGAACACACACACACGAGAGAACACACACACACACGAGAGAACACACACACACACGAGAGAACACACACATACACACGAGAGAACACACACAGTCCTAACAAGTTTGATATGGTACGGAAATTGTCAGCAGAAAGAGCTAAATCAGAATGACTACGTAAACATACCTGAGGGGCCACTAATGCTAGTGGCCTCGACGAGGACAGGAAGCCGGCGGCGTGCCAGGAGTTAGGATACGAGGACGTGCCAGGAGCTGGGACACGAGAACGTGCCTGGAGCTGGGACACAAGAACGTGCTAGGAACTGGGACACGCGGACGTGCTAGGAACTGGGACACGCGGACGTGCTAGGAGCTGGGATATGACCGCAAACTACCACTTTTCAGTTCCCATGAAGCGTTTTAGCTACACACTAATACAGTAAACGTGTTGATGAAGAGCTTTGGCGACAAGGGAACTTCAACAGTTAACGTCAAGGTACTGTGCAACGCAAGCTCTCACGCCACGGACTGAGCAGTACCAGCTCTCCACCCAGGTACTGAGCAGTACAAGTTCTCCACCCAGGTACTGAGCAGTACCAGCTCTCCACTCAGGTACTGAGCAGTACAAGTTCTCCACTCAGGTACTGAGCAGTACCAGCTCTCCACCCAGGTACTGAGCAGTACAAGCTCTTCACCCAGGTACTGATCAGTACCAGCTCTCCACCCAGGCACTGAGCAGCACAAGCTCTCCTCCCAGGTACTGAGCAGTACAAGCTCTCAACCCAGGTACTGAGCAGTACAAGCTCTCAACCCATTTCTTGTACAAGTCCTTTATCTCTCTCTCCTTTATGAACGCCGTAAGTCGGCAAAACATCAAAATTTCTTTAAGGTAGGCACTGAAGCCGACCGTCCACGGCCAGGGGCCAGATTCACGAAAGCACTTACGAACCTGTACATCTTTTCTCAATCTTTGGCGGCTTTGTTTACCATTATTAAACAGTTAATGAGCTCCGAAGCCCCAGGAGGCTGTTTATAACAATAACAACAGTTGAATGGGAAGTTTTCATGCTTGTAAACTGTTTAATAAATGTAACCAAAGCCGTCAAAGATTGAGGAAAGATGTACACGTTCGTAAGTACTTGTGTAAGTGCTTTCGTGAATCTGGCTCCAGGTCTATGTCACTTGCCTTCCCCCCGTCCCGCCTTCCTTGTGTCCTCTTGGATAGTTGACTGAGGCTAGCCCAAACATCAAGCCTTCCCACGGATATTATCGTTTACAGATAGAGGTTATATTAACAAGCAACAGACCCACCGAACAATAGACTCCCTTGACACAAGCTATCACCTTGGGAACAAAGACAGCTCACCTGGGCGTGAAGCTGCCGATCGCGTGGTGGTGGTGGATCATGTCCTTGTTCAAGTTCCCGCCAATAAATCTCATCACTTTCCCCATCGTTTTCCTGTAACACCCCATCTGTTATTTTCTCTATGGCAAAGGCATTAATAAGTTTAACATGTGAACTCATACATGCCACCAATATTATCTCTTTAAGGTTTAATCGTTCTGAAGAGGCATGAAAGTCTTAATACAGTTTAAAGTCTAAGATATTGTTGAGTAATGCCCCCTTAGAACAACAACAGGGGCTATGATATAGCTAAGACAAGATGTACGGCTGGAGCTGACCCGAGGCTAACTCTTACAATGGTCTGAACTCTTTACATGGCAGAGGCTGATCTCTGACCTAGAGTTGAAAATAAAAGAGTTAACCTGAGGCGGTGCCTGGGTGACCTGGCTGCGACAAAAGGAGTATCCTCAGACCTAGAGTTAAAAGTACTGTAAAAAGAAAAATTCCTCGAAGTTACTATTAGATAAGCACTGTTAGCTAGCAGACTCGACTAGTCAGCGCGCTATAACAGTAACTTCGAGGAAGTGAGAGTTAGCTCTTAATAACCCGCCTATTACCGTTGTTATACGTGTTGTGTTATAGTTTAACTGTGTGAGTTCTGACCTGGGGTTGAGGACGAGGGCCTCGTAGTGGACGGGGAGGCAGCGGCGCGGACCCATCAGCAGGCACTCGGTCCGCAGCACCCCCAGCAGGTCCTCCAGCATCCTCAGACCTTCCTCCACACTCCTCAAGCCGCGCCCCAACAATGGTACCTGACACACACAAGAACAGGTAAGTAGTTATCACAAGAAAGCTGGTAGCCATCGTGGCTATATAGTGCACAAAGATATCATATTAACGTGATGTATCAATGAGAAAAGCAGTAGGGCCCACGAGGAGGATTTGAACCTATGGTCTGGATAATTCCAAGCACACGCCTTAGACCACTACACTACGACATGGTAAAAACAATTATGTTACCTGGGACTCAGGGATTCAGTTTAATCCCTGGTTGTATTGCTTTTAACATGTCGTGGTGTAGAACTCGTACTGTGCTCCAGCGCGAGCACAGTACGAGTTCCACCCAGGGAAATACCTGCGTGCTACAACACGGGCCCGCGCAAGAATATCCCGGAAAAAAAAACCGCGCAGGTTGTGTGTGGAGCCCACAACTACCACACGCAGGCTCTGTGTGTGTGTGTGTGTGTGTGTGTGTGTGTGTGTGGTAAACTAAGGGGTGCTGGTGTCCACACTCAGGAGAAGCGTCTAGTGTGTACTTCACTCACCTGGCGGCGCCAGAGTGAGGTGGCGGCGGCCCGAGGATCTCTCACCAGGAAGATGAACTTGGTGTTGGGGAAGGCAGTAAGGAGGTAGCGTCCCCCTGTCAGGGCCAGAGCGTCCCTCATGCACGCGATGGACACCGAGGAGACATTGTTGGCCAGCACCTCAAGCAGGAAGAGCTGAGTCGCCTCCTTCAGCACCTGCAGGAGGAACCAGTAAATCAGTCGAGAGATCTCTCATCATGCATTGGACAACTGAACTTGTACTACATTTTATTTTTTAATATGAAAGATCATTATATTGTTTACTCTTAGGCAAGGCACTTAGTTTTTTTCACATTACAACCCTCTTTGGCTGGTTCCTTTGTTCCACTTTCTCCAATACTGATGCTTTCTTTTTTAACTCCATACAATACATTATCTGCTCCACGGCTATAGTAGTTCACTGCTTCCTCTGGTAATTAGTTATTTTTAGCGAGAGCACCCAGGCTGACGTTAGTGTTAAACTCATGAAGTTCTATATTCATCAAGAAGTGCAATACACATTTAACACTTAACTCTGACACACTTAAAACAGCGGAGATTGCGCCACTTTACAAAAGAGGTAGTAAAGCAGATGCAAAAAATTATTGACCAATAGCTCCAATTTCACACATCATAAAAATCTATGAGAAGAGTGCTTAGAAGTGAGATTACAAATCACATGGCATCACATCTACATAACCCTGGACAACATGGGTTCAGAACAGATCGTTCTTGCCTCTCACAATTGCTAGATCACTATGACATGGCCTCAGGTGCCATGGAAGACCAACAAAACGCTGATGTAATATACACAGAGTTTGCAAAATCTTTCGGCAAATGTGATCACGGTGTTATTGCGCACAAAATGTCCTAAAAACAATTACTGGCAAAGTAGGGAGATGGATCTTTAACTTCCTAAGGAACAGAACGCAGTGTAATAGTCAACACAGTAAAGTCCGGATCATCTACTGCGAAAAGCACAGTCCCTCAAGGTACCGTACTTGATCCGGTACTTTTTCTCTTCCTAATATCAGACATAGACAAGGATACAAACTACAGCACTGTATCATCATTTGCAGATGACGTTAGGATTTTCATGCGAGTAGAGAATATAGAGGACACGGCAAATCTCCAATCTGATCTTAATCAGGTCTTTCAATGGGCCACCGATAATAATATGATGTTTAATGAAGACAAGTGCCAGCTCCTGCGCTATGGAAAAAACTGAAACCACATATAAAACGCAATCGAATCACACTATAGAACGAAAAAGCAATGTAATAGATCTAGGAGTTATCATGTCGGAAGACCTTTCTTTCAAAAAAACATAATAAACTAGGTGTCACAACTGCAAGAAAAATTATTAGATTCTAGATACATGTCTTGCTTCAGATATCACTGCTCTAAGCAGAGTTCTTCCTTCTCGTGTTGGGGTTTCTCTTTAGATGTTTTCTGAAGATGTTGACTCTGTGGGTTTGTTATTTAAGTTACTGTAGAATCAGTAGTTCTCGTTTTGTGTTTCCTGGGTGTGGGAAAAACCTGCTGGGATTGATATGAGAGGAGACTACCAGGGACTTGTACTGAACTAAATTAAAAATTACTGTCTGCAAATTAATTCAACTAAATTCTCTAGCTAGGGTTGTAAATCCTAGCTCCTCTTTTCCTAATGACGGATTGTGGGCTGTAAGGGGCAGGTGGGGTGAATGAATTAGTTGATAGGTTGATTGAAGATCCACAGTCCACCTGCCAACAGGTATCTCACATCAGCTTATATTTTATACAAGGATAAGATTTAATAAATTCAGTTATATGACTGAACCCTGGCTCTGTTTAAATCAGAGATTTAAACATGTACATAGTCTAGCCTAGCACCATAACTATTAACAGCCAATATATTCTTACACTATGAACAACAATTTAAATTGTAAAAGTATGATAAATGACTTTAAATGTAGTCTAAGTACTGTTAACTAAGTACTAAAGATTATATTCAATTAAATGAACTTATATGATAACTTAAAAAATAACTAAGCAAGTAACTGTTAACTTAATTTATATATTCAAGTATATATGCAATGTATTTATATTCAATTTATATGATGATGTTCAGTCAGCCTGACTAAATCTCTTCCAACACCATGGACACTTATGAGGTCTTGTTTACTTATTGCGACTGAATCTTTTCTCATAATGGACACTCATGAGGTCTAGTGCTTGGATAAGATTCTACTGCTGCGCTACTATATTAATAAACTTACTGAGATATGAGGCGTTGCCTCGCTTTATAACCGATAGACAGACTTATAGAATATTAAAGTCACACAAGCATACAATTGGCCAACTATATACCAAAATAACCTCAATATACTTCTCTGCTTGCCGAGTGCCTGTCTGACAGTGTGCCAGACTGGATAACTCTCTTGTTGCAAGTTTAGGCACGATATTTTATATAACAGCATTGCTGTATGATGTACTAGTAGCATTGCTACGTGATTTTTATTTAATTGTGTTGCATAAAGATGAGGGTTGGTGGTGAAGGTAGAGACAAGTCACTGTGTGTTCCACTCTACACTTATAGATATAAATGTTCTAGGGATTTTCCTTGTAAATATATTGTCCAGATACTCCCACAGTTCTAAAGAGTATTCACTGGTGATAAAGATATTAGATAAGGTGTCCTAAGCCAAATAATGTTCGCTAAGGATCCGTCACTGTTCACTGTGTTGTAAACAAACAGGAAGTGCCCGGGGTATCGTCGGCACTTTTTGTTCCCGAGATGCTCCTCCCTCTCCCTTGAGAGGTAGCTTTCAATGAATATTGATTGATTATTTTTACTGTCTAGACTTATGATTGAGATAAGATGTGATTATAATATAATTAGATATAGGATTTAAAGATTATAAGTAGTACTTGATAGTACCACTGATTCTTATTAAGGATTCAATTTATAATCCCTACCGGAAGCGATTAATGTTCCAATAGTTTTTTAATTAAGAAATCCTTCTAGAAGCTTCTGGATCCTTGAGAGATCATGCACAAAGTCACATAGGCATCTATAGGGCCCCTATGGCGTAAATGATTATAGTGACATTGTCATTTAGGATCAAGCTGTATAATGAATCTATAATGATTCTAATATGATTTTGTTATGATTTTGATACGATTTAGATATGATATAGATATGATACAGAAATTATACATTTCTTAGATGATAATATAGGTAGGTAGGTAAAAATTTCCCACACTGGGATGATGACCGGAATAGCTTTGTTTGCAGCAGCTGTAATAGCTTCTCATTGTACCTTACCTAAATAAAATTGTATTGTATTGTATTGTATTGTATTGTATGCCCGAAACGCTTTGCGTAATAGTGGCTTTAGGCATTGTATGTACTAGCTCTACCTATAAGTCAACCAATCTTTGTAAAAATTTATTGTATGTATGCACCTTACCTAAATAAAATATTATTATTATTATTATTATTGATTAGTCTCAATTATGTTCAAATCTTCCAGTGACGTATATGTAGCACACCAATTTTTAAGTTCCTCTTAATATATATTCAATCTTGGTTGTGCAGGTGGTATAGGAGATCGTTCTATGTTTAGCGTTGTGATAGTAGCAAAGTGATCACCGGGACCACCTCCGACTTCACCTGATGTGTGAATGCAGGTAAGATTAACGTAAGATCAAGACACCCTTCTTGAATGTGTGTGTGTTTCCCTATACTGAGAAGTGTAATCTCAGGTATTTCTTGCAGAGCTGCAGCTAAATGTCGCCCATCTGCATTGGCTGGCCCAGTCGCGCCTGAGTACCAACCCCATTATATCACAGCACACTGGAGCCACACTATCACAACAAATCACACTATTCCACCACCCCACTGCAACACCCACCACAACACACACTCACCAGCACCACAGACTAGCACACCACAACTCCTTCACCAACCACTGTGGCCTCACCGTCTCAGATATACCGGCGAGCTGGAGCCTGTGCCTCTCTCTGGCGGAGGCTGTTAAAGAGCGCCACATCCTGGCCAGGGTGTGGAGCACGCCAGATCCCTCCCAGCACTTCACTTGAGGGTGGGCGTCCAACACCGCCCTCAGCAACCCTGTACCCGCCCCTGGCAGCCCGCTCACCACAACCAGGGGACTCAGCGGGGTGGGTGGCGAGGCGGGCAACTGGGTGGTGGAGGCGGCGCCCTCCGAGGCACGCTAGGAAAAGAGAGACATTCAGGTGACCAAAGACACTAAATATCTTTATTGTGTGTTCGTTAAACCAGAAAAGAATTGGAGCTCCTTGAAGTGATCAGAGCACCACACGATATATTTACTGCTAAAAATAATTTTGTTGAGCCTATTAGATTGGGTTAGGTTCGGATTGGATAAGATAGGTAAGGATAAGATTGGTTGTTAAGTGCAGTTAGGATTGGTTATTATGCAGACGATGAGTGACAGTAACGTGGCTGATGATATGTTGACCAAACCACACATCAGAGGATCAATAAACGACGACCTTTCAGTCCGTCGTGGACCAGGATCATACTGTGTGTTATTACCACACGACTTGACAATGGTCCACGACGGACTGAAGCGGTGTCTTATTTATTTTCTGATACTTACTACTTGGGCTGGACTGTAGAGCGACGGTCCCGCTTTCTGCAGGTCAGCGTTCAATCCCCGACCATCCGAGTGGTTGGATATCATTCCTTTCCAAAGCCTTATCCTAACCCCTTCCAAGTGCTATGCAGTCGTAATGGCCTAGCGCTTTCTCCTGATAGTTCCCCTTCCTTTTTTGATGTGTGATTTGGTCATCGATGGTTATTAGATGACGTTAGAGTTCGTTATTAGGAGAGGTTAGGAATGCCATCCGACACAACTTCACCCTCTTGCGAGACAATTCCTGCTTCACTTCTTCTGTCAGTTGGTTTAAATCTTCCCTCATGGCTCCATCTCAGATAAGTTTACATGTAGAGGGTAACCCACACGCATGAGCAACAGTCCAGATGCGGGACAGAGGATTTGTTGGAAAGCTAGACAGAGAACATATAGGAACGCCCAGACCAGAAGTAGGAGAATAATAATGAAACTCTTCGAAAATAAAAACTGGGATGGCAAAGGAGGTGCCAGAAATCTCTGGCTGCTACAAGCCGCAGCCAGAGATTGCCTAACCAGCAGGCACTAAAGGAATCGCTACCATACTCTCTGGGACTAAGACTGAAGAGGATAAACAGCAGCCTGCTGAAGAAGGCCGGCAGACGACTGCAGAACCAAGGAAGAGACCAGCTACTCCAGCCCATAAGAAGACAACCTGAGCAGGATAGAAAGATACTAACCAAGCTGTTTGAAAGAAAAGTTGGCAGGACTCTGGGATGGGCTGAAATTGACCTACGGAGACCACCCGGCATGGAGCAGATTCCCAGAATCCCCACCCATGATAGCGTGGAGGAGATGAAATTCTCTAAGAGACCACTTAGTAAAAGCGATCCTGACCTAGGAATCAGTGAACTATCCAACCCTACTTAACCTCGCGTCGGAAGACCGGTGGCGGAGCGACACGAGCCCTAACGAAGCAAGGCCCTAACAAGACTTGAAACTTAACGTAACTGAGAGGCCCTAACAGAACTCAAACAGAACCAAACTTTAACCTAACCTGGGCTAGCCAAGCGCAAGGAGTGGTTAAGGTGGACCCACAGTTAAAGTGTCGCCACCTGCAAGTGACGCCACCTGCAAGCGACGCCACCTGGTGTTTATGGATGGTACCCACACACAGTCACACTAAGAGACAACATTAGACACCATCCTCACACAAGAAGTACAACATTGACGACGATTCGCTCCGTTGTGAACTATTATCAAGTCGTGTGAGCGAAGAGAGTGTCGGAGAAAGTCGAGTTATTTGGACTTTTGGGCATTAGAAGATAGTGCGTGAGTCCAAAAATGTTGGGAAGACCTGTCATAGACCTCTTCCCAATCAGCGTCCCGTAGGTAATTGTATATAAATATCCCAGTGCCCCATTAGCCTGGATCCCAGTGTCCCATAAGCCTGGATTCTAGTGGCCCATGAGCCTGGATCAGACGTAGTCACTACTAATATGCAGGGATTAAGAGATAGTGCCTTAACTGACAGGGAGGATGTATAACAGTGTAGATAACTGGGCGGAGGATTACCATGCAGTGCTTCAGTTAATGTTAATATCGCACTCTTTAAAAACTGGAGATAGCGAGCCTTACCTGGTAGTGGTGGTGGTGGTGGTGGTGGTGGTAGTGGTGCAGGTTGCGGTGGTGGTGGACAGCAGGTACGGTGGTTGTGGGGGAGAAGAAAGGAGTGAACCACACCCCCAACACTACAAGTAACACCACCAACTTCACAACCCTCCTCACAGTCTTCCTGTTGACAATGAGAAAGAAAAGATCGGCTCTATGATAGGTACACGCACACACACACACACACACACACACACACGTGTACAAGCACATACACACTTGCCACCGGGATCACTCTCAACACCACTACTGCACTTCCTCTACATTAAGAAGATGTGATGTGTCCACCAGAAGAAGATGTGGCAATGTTTACCGCTGAGGAGAAAACTTCATCCACGACTTTCAGAGTAGATATGTCAGGGTGGTGGAGGAGGGGGGGGGGGGGGTAGATGAACCAGACATGCTCAACTCTGGAGTATGTCAGGGTGGTAGAGGGGGGGGGGAGGGAAGGGAGGGTAGATGAACCAGACATGCTCAACTCTGGAGTATGTCAGGGTGGTAGAGGGGGGGGGGGAGGGGAGGGTAGATGAACCAGACATGCTCAACTCTGGAGTATGTCAGGGTGGTAGAGGGGGGGGGGGAGGGGAGGGTAGATGAACCAGACATGCTCAACTCTGGAGTATGTCAGGGTGGTAGAGGGGGGGGGAGGGGAGGGTAGATGAACCAGACATGCTCAACTCTGGAGTATGTCAGGGTGGTAGAGGGGGGGGGAGGGGAGGGTAGATGAACCAGACATGCTCAACTCTGGAGTATGTCAGGGTGGTAGAGGGGGGGGGGGAGGGAGGGGAGGGTAGATGAACCAGACATGCTCAACTCTGGAGTATGTCAGGGTGGTGGAGGGGGGGGGGGGGGGTAGATGAACCAGACATGCTCAACTCTGGAGTATGTCAGGGTGGTGGAGGGGGGGGGGTGTGGGTGGGGGGTAGATGAACCAGACATGCTCAACTCTGGAGTTGAAACACTCCAACACAGACACGTTGCTAATCACGCCTTAAAAGAATCACTCAAACTAAAGACAAACACATACACAAACAAGCACATAAGTGGAAAAAAGCAGGCAAAAACAAACACTACAAGACAGACACCAACAAGTATACGAACCCCGTTACAAACATCAACAAGTATACGAACCCCGTTACAAACATCAACAATATCGGTGAAGATTGATTCTCAAGTTTCCTCTGTTCGTCATTTATATCATCCATATTATTATCTTTATCATTAACTCTTTCTCTTCTCTTGTGTGAGAGGCGCTAAGTTGCTCTCCTCTGACCTCTCTCTCTCTCTCTTCTCCTCTTCTCCACCTTCTTCTCTTGCTTAGCTTTATTACTCCTAACTGTTCTTACTGTTGTGCACTTGTTCCTACTGTTCTGCACTTGTTCTTACTGTTGTGCATTTGTTCTTACTGTTGTGTACTTGTTCTTACTGTTGTGCACTGGTTCTTACAGCTGTGCACTTGTTCTTACTGTTGTACACTTGTTCTTACTGTTGTGCACTTGTTCCTACTGTTATGCATTGTTTTTACTCCTGTGCACTTGTTTCTGTTGCTGTGCACATGTGACCGTAGGTGTGGACGTGTTCCTCCTTCAGTTGCAAACGTGTTCTAGTGGATTTGCAATAGATCACACGGCTGTGCACGTGTTCTGGAGGCTCGTGTTGCTGTGGCTGAACACCTGTTGTTATGACTGGCTCTCCCTCAACCCCCGCCCCCCACCCCCCCCCTCTGGGGGAAACACCTGCACTCTCTCACAGGTGTGTGTGTGTGTGTGTGTGTTCACCTAGTTGTGTTTGCGGGGGTTGAGCTTTGCTCTTTCGGCCCGCCTCTCAACTGTCAATTAACTATTTACTATTTTGTGTGTGTGTGTGTGTGTGTGTGTGTGTGTGTGTGTGTGTGTGTGTGTGTGTGTGTGTGTGTGTGTGTGTGTGTGTGTGTGTGTGCTATTGAAACACAAATTACTCATGAACGGTCACCAGCTGAAGGGAACTACTTTACTGGCGGAGTAATACTAGTCACTCGCGGCCTCCCAGGTGCCAGCTACAGGTTTATTTCAAAAAAATATTCTCTGATCAACTCCTTTGTGTTAATAATAATGTATAATAGAAACTAACCTCCACAGGAGGTAAAGTTTGTAACACCAGTCTCCCCATATCGCCATATTCCTGTCTCCCCATATTCCCATTTCCCCATAACCTTGTCTTCCCATATTCACGCCTTCCAATATTGACCTGTATATATTGGAACATATTCCAATATTCCAATATTTCTGTATCTCCATATACCAATCTTCTCTCTCTCTCTCTCTCTCTCTCTCTCTCTCTCTCTCTCTCTCTCTCTCTCTCTCTCTCTCTTCTTTATTTCCTATCTCCTCTCTCTCTCTCTCTCTCTCTCTCTCTCTCTCTCTCTCTCTCTCTCTCTCTCTCTCTCTCTCTCTCTCTCTCTCTCTCTCTCTCTCTCTCTCTTTCTGTCTATCTCTGCATATCCCTCCTTTTCTCTCTGTTTCTTTTTAACTTTCTAAATGAAATAAAGATAATTATCCCTAATAATTCCAAATATTAATAATTAGAATTAATGTTTAAAAACCTTTGTTCCTAAACGTTATATCATAACATTAAAACAACGTTTTAATAAAATGTTATAACCTCACGTTTATAACTGTTTTTACAAGTTCTTAAAAACGTGTATAAATTGTAATTTAAAATGTGAAAAAAGCAATAAAATGTCGTTTTTAAAAGTTTAGAAAACGAGAAAATGTCTGGTTGGTTATCTACTCCCAGCTGTTGTCTACCCTAGTGACTGTCTTATCTACTTCCAGCTGTTGTCTACCAGGTGACTGTCTTATCTACTTCCAGCTGTTGTCTACCCTAGTGACTGTCTTATCTACTTCCAGCTGTTGTCTACCCAGGTGACTGTCTTATCTACTTCCAGCTGTTGTCTACCAGGTGACTGTCTTACCCCCTCCCAGTAATTATGTTATTAGATCAGGTGCCCAATTGAACATGATGTTATTTGAAACATATTGGTTGGTGAAGTGTGTACATATGGAAGAACATTACAGCAAAAATCTTTATTTGTTCATTCATAAACTTGTTTATTATCATGTCACTCATTAGTAAAGTCAACAACACATAACAATCAATAAATATATTTCCTAAAGTTGGAGACCAAGAACCCAAGAACTTAAATATAATTAACATGTTTAATAGTTGGAAATTATTGTTAAGCTCATTACATATTTTCAGTTTGGAAAAGATAACTATAAACTTATATTAATTTAAGTATTTACTAAATAAATGCAAAATATAACACCAAAATACATAATAATTTAATTATATGATTATCATGACACAAATATTAAAAACGCCGAGAAACTCTCGCATAAGACAGTGAGAAAATGTAACTTCCTTTACAGATTGAATTATTAATTTCAATTTAATTTCTCATTAAGATTATATATTATTTACATAAAAGCATATTAACTCTAATTAATAATTATTTCTCTACTTTTAGACCATTGTTTTGAAGATTTCAGAGGTTAACAGAGGTTAACAGAGGTTAACAGGTCATTTGTCCTGGTGAGTTCTTCCTGCTTGACCACACAGGTGTTGACAGCTCTTCCTGCTTAACCACACAGGTGTTGACAGCTCGTCTTGCTTGACCTCAGGTGTTGACAGCTACACCTCTGTTTTGGCTTTAGTTTTTGACATTTCTGAAGTATAAGGGTAAATTTCATGAATATTTGATATGATAAAACATGGGCAACATTTTCTTACAAATATTGTCTAATAAAACAGACAAACATTGATGAAATATAGTAGTAAAAGACAAACATTGATGAACACAGAGAGCATGAACACAGAGGTACACTATATATCCTATATTAGTGGAAGTAGAAGTAATGTCCCACTCAGATGGGAGAGGCCAACTATGGCCAGCTGGGCGATCCAAACCCTGTCCAGCTGGGAGTGACCAGCACAGGCCAGCTAAGGTGGCCACTCCTAGCTGGCCTGTTCACCCCAAGGACTACATCGCTGACTACATTACAAACCACCAGAGCCCCCCAAACACACGCCTGGGACCCGCAAATTGGAACATTTCACCGCTCCGATCAGTTAACGCCAGCTCTCTGCTTTCTCTACTTCAACCAGGCTTGCAGACTCGTGAGGAGCAATGTCAAAGGCCTTACTAAGTTTGAAATTGATTAAATCTTAATTTATATTGTTGTTGAATGCCTCAAATATGCGTCTCTGCCCTTTGAATGCCTCAGATATGCGTCCCTGCCCTTTGAATGCCTCAGATATGCGTCCCTGCCCTTTGAATGCCTCAGATATGCGTCCCTGCCCTTTGAATGCCTCAGATATGCGTCCCTGCCCTTTGAATGCCTCAGATATGCGTCCCTGCCCTTTGAATGCCTCAAATATGCTTGTGTAGACGGACAGATATGTGAGACAAGATCGCCTTCACAATAAGTGACGTTTTGAGTCCCTCATCTGTTTGAATTTGTTGAGGTATTTTCGTATTTAGTTTGCTATTACAGCCTCAAAGAATTTTCTTAAGATAGAAGTCAGGTAAATTTGACGGTCGTTATGAGCAAGAGATCCGGGGCTCGCTGTAACCACCCCCCAGCAGCTGGGACTACTCCTGTGTTGAGCGATTTACTGAACCTGGGGCCAGATTCACGAAAGCACTTACGAACCTGAACATCTTTTCTCAATCTTTGGCGGCTTTGTTTACAATTATTAAACAGTTAATGACCTCCGAAGCACCAGCAGGCTGTTTATAACAATAACAACAGTTAATTGGGACGTTTTCATGCTTGTAAACTGTTTAATAAATGTAACCAAAGCCGTCAAAGATTGAGGAAAGATGTAAACGTTCGTAAGTGCTTGCGTAAGTCCTTTCGTGAATCTGGGCCCTGCTTATTAGTGGGGGCGACAAGCTTCTTCTCTGCACTCATTTAGACTCTGATGAGCAACTTATCTGGAACGAGGAATTTGTTTAATTGTAGTTTATCAATTAAATTTAAAATATGTTTTATTAGTCTGAATATTACATAGTTTATTTTCGTCTCTATATAGTAACATTTGAAATGTTGTTGCTGACGGTTCGATAAATAAGTAGCAGTAGTTCAGATCTTTTTCAATCAGAATTTGTAATTTCATTATTAGGCTTAAACCGGTAAAATTGTTAGCATTATACTGCATCCCTCAGTCTATCGTCCACTTTCAGTCTATCTTGTTCATCTTGTAAGGATTTTTTGTACTTAGAATTTATTTCCACCTGTGTTATATGGTCCCCCCCCCCTCAGTTGGTTGTTCCTTCACGAGTTGACGTGGTGAGGAGTCTCTTGTGCTCCGCCAGAGGGCAGGAGCGGCGCCCCTCCTGCTCCTCTCTCTCTCCTTGTGTCACTGACGGTGATGTGGGCAGCAAAGATACAAAAAAAACGTCCACCAGACTATTGGAAATAGTAGATCAGGTTGGGCCTCAATTATCTATTGCTAGTGGCTGCAGGTGTCTACCCCTTAATTTAGTGGACTTGTAGTGTGCATTCGTACTTCCTTTGCTGTGAATTCCTCCATTGTTGCAGTTCTATAAGCTTCAAATCTGTAAGATGTCGTCCGGAGCCACCAATTATGGCTTCAAGTTACCTATGACTGAGACCTATGGTAAGACTTTTACTCGGACACATGTCGTCCCTCGTGTTCACTCAGTGGTGGTCCCCTTATGTATAAGGATGCTGTCAAACTCTGGAGGACGACCTGTACAAGTATGACCTGTAGGAAGACGATCTGAACAAGTATGACCTGTATTAGATAACCTGCTTGTAAACAACCTGTATGAAGAAGACCTGGACAAGTATGACCTTAATTGGACGACCTTTACAAGTATGACCTGTACTGGACGACCTGCAAAAGGGAATGCCATATCCTTGGAGAACGAAGTGTCACTGTTACGTCATCTTGGTAAAACATTGTCATACACTCGCTATTGTGATCTTTCGTGCCAGCAAAATACAGAAAGAGAATGACAAGTCTCTTTAGAAATGCATGAGAATGGAGGAAGTTGTGGACCACAGCATCTGGGATGTGAACCACAAACACAATGATGTGAACCACAAGCACCATGGAGGGAAAGCTAAATATGACCAACAATGAAGTATTCTGTAAAGAACATATCGGCCACCGTACATGAACAATCCTCACTACGATAACCTGGGGCCATATTCACAAAGCAGTTACGCAAGTACTTACGAGCGTGTACATCTTTCCCCAATCTTTGGCGGCTTTGGTTACATTCATTAAACAGTTTACAAAAATGAAAACTTCCCAATCAACTGCTGTTATTGTTATAAACAGCCTCCTGGGTGCTTCAGAGATCGATCTACAGGTTCGTAAGTGCTTGCGTAACTACTTCGTGAATCTGGCCCCTAGCCTGGGCTGGGAGCGGTCCGGAGAGGGTTACCTGGACAGTCCGTCGCGGCGTATGTTGTGGTCTCGTACACCTCGTCACCGTCGTACACAGACGACACCACTATTAAATATTCTGTGCAAAGATCCAGTCCGTTTATGAGGTAGAAGGTGTCGGTTGTCTCTGCCAGTATGTCTTCAGTAGGAATTCCTACAATATAGTAGTTAGGCGGGGTGTCTGGCGGGGACCAGGTCACATTCAGGGCGTTGGATCCCACTGGCGTTACTCCAACGTCCAACGGAGGCCCCGACCCTGAGGAAGACAATATTGTAAGAGATAACTTAGGTTACTACAACGTTTAAGGGCGGCCCTGGGGCCAGATTCACGAAAGCACTTACGCAAACACTTACGAACGTGTACATCTTTCCTCAATCTTTGACGGCTTTGGTTACATTTATTAAACAGTTTACAAGCATGAAAACTTCCCATTCAACTGTTGTTATTGTTATAAACAGCCTCCTGGTGCTTCGGAGCTCATTAACTGTTTAATAATTGGAAACAAAGCCGCCAAAGATTGAGAAAAGATGTACAGGTTCGTAAGTGCTTGCGTAAGTGCTTTCGTGAATCTGGCCCCTGGACCTTAGGGAGATAATATCGTAAAATATCATATCATATTTGTCCTTGTAGACAACGTGGGGATTGAAACTCCCCATTACACAGTATATATATAAACTGAGAGTATACTTGGTCCTAAATACTGTTCAGGGCTGAAGTGAACTTGTTGGTTAGCCACCTTGGTATTACAGTATAGTGGCCTTAATAACCCTGGAGTTTCCAGATGTTAATTGACCTTACGCCCCTCACCAAAGTTATCAATAAATCCTCAAACACCCCCTACAGATCGACGTTTTCAAGCGGATTAAAGACATTAAAAAAAAGAGATTTAAACAGGGGTTTTGAAACTTAGAAAAGGATGAGATACCACAATAGTGGGTTCAAGCAGGACAAATTTAATTTTAAGAGGGACTCATGAAAGTAATTTTGTTGATAAAAAGTGTTTTGGGTGCGTGGAACAGGCTGGCCGATTATTGAGACAATTTAACAGGTTTAAGGAATAGGTTTGATACGCACATGGGTTAGAGGGGGATTGGCACATGGGGAAAGAAGATAGGTACATGGGTGAGAGGGGATAGGTACACGAGTGAGAGGAGGATAGAGAAATAGGTGCGACGAGGATAGGTACATGGGTGAGAGGGGATAGGTACATAGAGGAACGAAGGCGAGGTACATAGAAAAAAGAAGAATAGATCCCTGGGTGAGAGCAGGATAGGTGCATGTAAGACAGGACGATAGGTACACGAGAAGGGAGCTAGGCACACTACAATTAGTGAGTGCGGGATAGGTATTCCGGTGAGAGTGGTATAGGTACACTGGTGAGAGGGGACAGGTACATATAAGAGATGAGGATAGGTACACAAATGAGACGGGGATAGGTACACGAGTAGGAAGGGATGGATTTAAACGGGGCTTAACCTAATATTGGTCAACAGGAGAGCTGCAGTGTTCCTTAAGTCTTATATACTTTACGTTTTAGAAGTAAATATTTCACAAGTTAAGGAAAAGTGTGTAAAGTACATATGAGACGTATATTTAATGCAACTTACAGCAATGCATGACAATAAATATCTTATATAATTCAACATGTATTATGTAAGGCAAAATTTAAGGACTTCCAAGTGATATTTGACCTTCAGAATAATATATAAATTCCTCTATTTATGTCTAAAGTAAAATATGAGACGATGAGTCCCAATAACGTGGCTAAAGTAAGTTGACCAGACCACACACTAGAAGGTGAAGGAACGACGACGTTTCGGTCCGTCCTGGACCATTCTCAAGTCGATTGTGAATGGTCCAGACACAATCGATTTGAGAATGGTCCAGGACGGACCGAAACGTCGTCGTCCCTTCACCTTCTAGTGTGTGGTCTGGTCAATTAAAATATGAGACATTAACCATTGTCTTGTGATTAAACAACTATTGTGAAGAGCATGGAGCCAGGCACCGACCCCTTGAGGTTCCCCCACTCTTCATGCTCAAGACATTAATACGATTAACATATTAATGATCACAGTTCCTATAAAGGTTCATTTAATATTAATAAAACAACCCCTGATCACTCACCAATAGTCACAACTCCTACTTCTTCTCCTTCTTCTTCTCTCTGGAAAACAAATTTAACAAAATCATTAAGATTTTTTTCACTTCTTTGGATATATATTGAAGAAACAAAATTGATAATTTACTTTTGAACTCTTCAAAAAGTTTACACCTCCATCCTCTGTATGGGCTGTTGCCTCACTTACAGTGAGGACGGATAATGGTCTAGAGCCATGAACGTGATTACAACTATTATTGAATAGTTGTAATCACAATAGTTGTAATGCTGCTTCCATTAAAATATGGAAGCAGCAAGAGGAAGTATGGGCCAATATGCCTTCTGCAGTTACTTCCATTCATATGTTCACTTATCTAATTTATACCCATTGTTTCGTGTTCTGTCTTGTGCTTGTCACCTCACTCAAAACTTTTGTACCACATCACCTCATCCAATTCGTATTACATTTTCAAAGACTTAATTTACACACAAATTCTTCTTACTTATACTATATTGGATGAGGGAATGGGATTAGAAGCATTAAACTTTGCAGACATACTGGGAATTACACGAGGAGTGTCACAGAGAGTCAAGGTTGGCCTTTATGCCTCCCTTAAAGGGAAGACAATTCTTCCCTATAAGGCAGGGAATTGGGACAATTCTTCCCTCTTCTATTACCCCGTAATCAAATTGATCGATATAAAATTTTCGGCATCGAGTCCATAGAGTTTAACATTCGTTTATATCGTGTTATATACTGATACTTACATGCAAAACGTATGTTCAGACACCAGGTTGGCATTCTGTGTGCAACCTTTTGGTTACAGTGTTGGGGAGACGGGTAGAGGGTGTGTGTGGGTGGAGACGGGTAGAGGGCGTGTGTGGGTGGAGACGGGGAGGGTGTGTGTGGGTGGAGACGGGTAGAGGGTGTGTGTGGGTGGAGACGGGTAGAGGGTGTGTGTGGGTGGAGACGGGGAGGGTGTGTGTGGGTGGAGACGGGGAGGGTGTGTGTGGGTGGAGACTGGGAGGGTGTGAAGATGTTTACTGTGATGACGATAGTGTGTTGTGACAATGGTTATAGTGAGGGAGGGAGACTGGGAAGTGTTGTGTGGGAAACCTGAGCACCAGGTCGATACAGACACTCATGCAGGTTGATGCAGACCACCTGGTACCCATCAGGGACCCATCAGGGACCCATCAGGGACCCATCAGGGACCCATCAGGGACCCATCAGGGACCTAATACTGTGAGCGTGACCTACCTGCTCCTCCTCACTGTCGTGGGCGGCAGCAGTCATCAGCAAGACGCTCAGCAGTAGCACAGACCAGGACATCATGCTGGTGGTGTGGCTGGCAGTGGTGTGGCTGGCTCTGGTGGCAGACTGGCTGTAGTGTAAGCCATATGGACAATATAGCATGCTCCCACACGTCCTTATCGCAGCCTGGTTATCTTACCTGGTGCCGTAATACCCACCAGAATTACTGGGAGTATAAAGTTACTTTCCACAAAAATTTAATTATCGAACATCATCACAGTCGTGATAATAATATGGGAATACTAGCAGTGAAATAGGAACATCAGGAGAGTAACACAGGGATAGTAACATGGAAATGGTAACGATGAGATAGTAACATTGGGATACTAACATTGGGATAGTCATATGAAAAAATCCACTACAATGAGATATATAAATCTTATATGTATTATATGTATGCAGGTACATCACATAGTTCACAGTAACAGTGGACCACTGGTGTCTTTACCAGGGTTATAAACAACCAAACAACACGGGGGTCTTCACAACAACGCCAGCTACTGGCGGACGTCCACAATAGATCGTTGAAACAGCAAAATGACGTCGACTCCATGACATCACAATCCTTTTATAAGGAAGAATTTGATCATATGAAAATAATACTTAATAATCTGCAAATCATTATTAGCTTAATCATATAAAAAATTCAAAATAATGCAGGCGAGGAGTCACAATAACGTGGCTGAAGTATGTTGACCAGACCACACACTAGAAGGTGAAGGGACGACGACGTTTCGGTCCGTCCTGGACTATTATCAAGTCGATTGTGAGAATGAGAAGTGACATTCTCACAATCGACTTGAGAATGGTACAGGACGGACCGAAACGTCGTCGTCCCATCACCTTCTAGTGAAGATAAATTAAGTCTGATCAACTTCAAAATAAAAGTTTTCAACTAAGAAAAGTACCCGTGAATGAGGTGGCAAGGCCCCAAGCGAACGCCCAGCGGGATGACTCTGAGTAGACCAGCTCCAGAACCCTCGCGTGTGTGTTCTACACACTTCAGATCAGCGTCCAACACCACACAAACATTACATAAACAGTGCTCATACCTATCCTACAGTTAGTGAAGTGTCGAGCACCGTACTGTTAAAAGAACAGTATTTACAACAGATAAATAATCTAGAGTGAAGAGAAGGGAGCCACTGCTCCTCGCGTGGTGTTGACACCAACAATACCTCACCACAACTCCCCTACTCAATCTAAATCAACTATCACTACTGCGTTATCAATATTGATCCTGCACAGTAGATACTATAATCTACCCATCACAATGTCATGCCAGATCACAATAGGAGTGATCATAATAGTCTGACAACGGTCATACTATCCACGGCTCATCACTCTACTGTCAGGAATGAGTAATAAATATGAATATGAATATGATATAACTTAATGTGATATAATATAAATATAAATATGAATTTTATGCACAATGCTTGTAAAATGTTTCCATTTTGATCATATAACTAACCTCTTCTGATAGCCTGCTGACCTCCTCCTCCCAAGACATAACCACACCACAACCTTCTAACAGTTCAACTAAAAAATTAAGAAAAGTAATGTAATTGCGTCTTTTATACTAAATCAATATTTATATTTCCTTGCAAAAATTTATGGAAACGATAAATACAATATTACTTTAAGTGGCTGTTTTGTACAGTAATATTGGCTCACAACAAGTGCACATTAATACTACTTATTCTGAACACATCCACTTGCTCTTATCTATATTGATAACATTTTCGGTGCGCGTAGTGAACACGTTGTTATCCGGAAATGCGTTGTGTTGGGCCGGCTGATGGGAAGAACACCGTGACGGCCACACTGTTATGACAAGAACATTCACACGAGCGTGAGAACACTCGCAGCTGATAACATGTCTCATGACGACAGAGGAAGAGTCCGACACTGGTCATAAACGAATATATATATAAATCTCTCTCTCTCTCTCTCTCTCATATATATATATATATATATATATATATATATATATATATATATATATATATATATATATATATATATATATATATATATATATATATATGTAAACTTAAATAATTGATGTATTTCATATATTTGTTACAAAACAAAATGAAACATTTGTATTTAACCAATTAACAAACGAATAACGAGTCAGCGTCTTACAACAATCTCAAGTTCATTGAGGACACGAACTTAGCTTATCTCAGAGCACCTCAGACGGTACCGTGTCTCTGACAACTGGTGCAGGGAAAATGATATTGTGACTGTCTCCTGGAGAATGGGAAGCTTCCTTTCTTACCCCATGTTGATGATTCTTGTGACGAAGGTAATTAAGTCCAGGGACTAAGTAGCTCCAGGGGTAATTAAGTCCAGGGACTAACTCACCAATTTTCGTTCCGTTAAGAGTTCTCAGAGGATAAAGTTAATCATTTGGACAATGTTGTTGGATGTAGCGCAGACTACTGCGCTGCAGGACCCTGAGAATATACTATAAATATCTTTAACACATTTGTGAAGGACAAAGGTTCTTCTGTTACCCTAGGCATTCTTTGAACCATGTCAGCTGCGTTCTCATGATTTAAAAAAAGCACAAATGTTCTAAAGTTATCTTTATTATTTGCTGTATGAAAAGCATTTTGAAGATAATAAAAGCCGTGTGAGAGCTGTGTTAGATGAGGGCTGAGAGATGGTAAAGTTATCAACAAATAAGGCTAGAGCGCTTCTCCCAGCAAGATGCGAAAAATTGCTGTGGTTATCTTCCTATCTTGAGGTTATTTTGAGATGATATCGGGGCTTTAGTGTCCCCGCGGCCCGGTCCTCGACCAGGCCTTCACCCCCAGGAAGCAGCCCGTGACAGCTGACTAACTTCCAGGTACCTATTTACTGCTAGGTAACAGGGGCATTTAGGGTGAAAGAAACTTTGCCCATTTGTTTTTGCCTCGTGCGGGAATCGAACCCGCGCCACAGAATTACGAGTCCTTCGCGCAATCCACCAGGCTACGAGGCCCCTACTTGGATATCTTACACGCATTATCAGTCTGCCGGGTATAGTCCTCTCGGGACCTTCGCAGTCATAGAATATTTGGGAATGTGTCGAAATTTGTGTGTCTGGCTTGTCATTATTATTATTATTTGTTGTGTCTTGTGATCTGGTAAGACACCTTGTCGCAAACTTTGTTTAATGGGCTTTGTCAGAGGACTGTTGAGCGTGTCAGTGATATTGTATGGCATGTTATGTCACCCTCTCCAGGACAGGGAACTCTACCAAAAGTGCACTGAAGCACTGCTCTTATGATCCTTTGATCTGTAGGTCTGTGACATGTCTATGATGTACGGTGATAGTTAACTTGACGTGAGCTGGCTAGGTACAGACTCTTCGTCTGTATTGGAGAGAAAAAAGTCCACATTCATTGGCTACGAGGCTATGAATTCTCTCTTTTTTCCCATGCCTCGTCCTGGCTATGTTGTATATTTTTTGGTCAGCTACTGCTCCTTAATCGCATGCCAATCAGAAAGGAGTGTCTTTCCCAAGTCGCTTCTCATTGGGTGCTGCACCAGGTGATCACACCTTACCCACACATGCTTACCCACTACTAGAGAGGTGCTAATCTCATAAGTTACATGGACAGGTCGCTGCCCTCTCAAGGAACTTCTAACTTCGGACGGTCACATTCCCAGTAGTTGATCAATGTTGTAAAAAACCTTTTTACCTTAATTATTCCTGCCGTAGGCGGCTAGTTTATTGTGCACTCATCCTGTGAGCGGTAGCGCAAAAATGACGACTGAGTACACTAAAAGGTTTTAATAAGACCTCAGAGGAGATTTGTATATTATTACTTATAAATAATCTGCACTGCTTATAACTATAATGTCAGCTAGTTATAAAAAAAATACATTCATGTGTTTACAATATATAATATATTGTAGTACGTGTTTTACTAATACTTACAATATTTTAGATATATGGGTATTACAGGATTATAGAAACCGTTGTTCTTTATTACAATTAGGCTTCGCACTACACAGACTATTCGTAATATAATCTGTCATTTATCTGCTAGAAGCAAAATGTGGATACACTGCTCGGATTCAGATATTATATTCTTTGTAATAGGATGGTTTACTCAAGGGATATACACTGAGTGGTGTAACCAGTGTTATGACCCCATATTGTATATTGGAGTCTACTCTAGTGAGTCTACTAGTCTAACTACTAACTACTAGTGTAACGAGTCTACTCTAGTGAGAGTTATTCTGCATCTGAACCTGACTGAGAGGTCAGAGGAAAGATGTATATATTAAATATATAATAAACGTCAGTGAATAATTTAAAAGCATGGGCATAGGATGAACATGTAAAGAAGTGACGTAAAATGAGATGTCGATACTTTGATGACATGACGTAAGGCTAGCAGGACGTCATGACCTTACTTGAGTCGCAACTGTCGTCAGAGGTGGATGTACTTCGTTGATTCTCCTGCAAGAAGGAAGAATATAGTTCGCTGTGTTTGTGTTGGAGCGAAGGCTACTTATGCACAACTGTGAGGAAGCTGTTGGGGACTAAATACACCATTTCCCTGTGATTTTGATGATTAGAGGCGGTCTGGAAGTGAATGTTTGGTCGCGCCTTTGTGGAACTCTAATTGTGATGCTTCTTCAAGGGGAAGGAAGCAAGCAGACGTTTCTGTGGTGAAGCCTGCCGGGCGACATTGTGAACTCACGTCGTGGACTGGAGGAAGCCTTGTGAAGCAGTCCTGAGGCAATTTTGTGGGCGGCCTACAGAGCTCCATGTTGGAGCTCCAGTGAGTGAGCGTCATCACGTCAGAGAATTCTGCGGTAAGCTCATGTAAGAGTTGTTACAGTGGTTGCTTGTGCTTGATCGTGTGGCCAGCAATCATGACAAGTGTTTATACATATAGGACATATATTTTATTAAGGCAGTGAGCTAAAATAAGAGAGTAGAAATGGGAGGACATGCTGGAGGGAGGAGTGATGCGTCCGCCATCGCTGAGGGTTAGTGGATGATTGAAGGGGGAAGCCCCAGCGTAGTGACGGGAGCGCCGCCCCCCCCCCTCCTCTAGCAATGCGTCAAGACTTGTTCTCAGAGTGGCCTTGCCCCGGACGGGGGAGGACCGTTGCGGCAACGCAATAGTGTTTAAAGAGATATTGGATGGAGGAAGTTATATTCTGTGACTACGTTTAATTATGTTTTGTTAGGAAAACATTTTTATTGGCATGGTAATGGAATTGCAGGTTTATTTGGGGAAGGAGTTCGTGGAGAAACTTCGAGGCTAGAGAAGACGTTAATGGAGGAACTTTGAGGCTAGAAAAGTGTAACTCCATAGTGAGGAGTTAACTTCAAACAGTGTAGAGGAGTTACACTGCTCCTTTACAGAGCAGTGGAGAGAGAGAGAGACAGAGAGAGAGAGAGAGAGAGAGAGAGAGAGAGTGTGTGTGTGTGTGTGTGTGTTTACTAGTTGTGTTTTGCGGGGGTTGAGCTTTGCTCTTTCGGCCCGCCTCTCAACTGTCAATCAACTGTTTACTAACTACTTTTTTTTTTTTTTTTCTCTCCACACCACACACACACACACCCCAGGAAGCAGCCCGTTACAGCTGACTAACTCCCAGGTACCTATTTACTGCTAGGTAACAGGGGCACTTAGGGTGAAAGAAACTTTGCCCATTTGTTTCTGCCTCGTGCGGGAATCGAACCCGCGCCACAGAATTACGAGTCCTGCGCGCTATCCACCAGGCTACGAGGCCCCGCGTAGTGTGTGTGTGTGTGTGTGTGTGTGTGTGTGTGTGTGTGTGTGTGTGTGTGTGTGTGTGTGTGTGTGTGTGTGTGTGTGTGCGTGCGTGTGTGTGTGTGTGTGCGTGCGTGCGTGCGTGCGTGCGTGCGTGCGTGTGTGTGTGTGTGTGTGTGTGTGTGTGTGTGTGTGTGTGTGTGTGTGTGTGTGTGTGTGTGTTTGTGTGTGTGTGTGTGAGTGAGGGTCACGGTTGCGGACAGGGTGGCAGAAGATACTAATTCATGAAAGGGGGATTTAGTAGATCATTCCAAACAAGGAGAGATTGGGGAGTCACGGCAGCTCGAGTAGAGTGTTTTCACAAGATAACAAGGCCAGTTGTCCTGGCACCCCAAGCCAGCATGGGGCATCAACAAGCACCCCAGTGACCATTGCTGGTCGACCGACAGTAGCGGAAGTGTGGCTGCCGAGGTCGGTCGGTTGTTCCGTCAGGGAGTGGTTGGGGACGCTGTCCGTCAGTATGCAAGTAGAAGTCTGGTGCAACGACTAGAGCTCCCTTTTGGAGTTTGAGGTCCCAGAATCTTCCCAACCCTCTCAGGACAGAACACTAGTTTCTAAGTGTATACACTGAGAGTTTACTTTAGTCCTCGATTATGTTCCCCTTCACAACAGGACTGAACCAACTTGTTTGATCCGGCCATCAAATTCTGATATTCCTTTTAAATTCTCGATTCCCTCATTGGCTGCCCAGCAAAACAACATTCGTCAACCATCTTCTGACTTGACAAGACATACAGCTGACCTCTCCCTTAACTTCAAACGTCATCAGATAATGGTAGAATATAGTCCACGTCCATGACGAGAGTCTGTATAGCGTCTCCTTGACGGAGGTCCTAGTGAGAGGAGACCATCCTTACCATAGCATGACGCTGGTGATCACTGTGGGTCTTGGTGACAGAAGCACTGCCTTAATATAACGTGATGCTGGCTTGGAAGAATGACCCCATAGATGTGCCATTTTATGCAAATGAGGCATGCAAGTATAGCAGTTCTATGTGATCAAATTTTTGTGGTGGAAGGGAGCAGTTGGCGATATGTAGAGACAGGTTAGTAAGTGCTTAATGTTATCATCATGTTTTGTGTAAGGAGAGAGTGTGTGTGTACGGACAGAGAGAGTTTGTTGTTGTTGTGTCTACCATTGGTGTTCCGTGTGGAGGGTGAGGGCGGGTCTATACCACACATGGACTGCCGGGACTCTGACCTCTGCTGTAGTTGTTGTAGCCTGCCAGTCTCCCTCCCTCCCTCCCTCCCTCCCTCCCTGGAGACCTCATTTGCGTAAAAACTGTCATCATTTATAGTTAATTATTTTGGGTGGAAGAGAGAATATGGAATATGGAGAGAGGGTGTTTCTGTAACAGAGATAAAGGTGCCCTTGGATGAGCACCAACCTTCTGGGTTGAAACACAGTGGGTTAATAGTTGTTCAAAGTTGGAGTGGGTTGGCCTCTGATCCACATGTTAAGGTTACAGAAGTAACATGTGTTTCCTCCACACCTTTTACAATGCAAATCTCTCCACCTGCTTCTTCCCCCCTCCTCCTTTCACCTGCTTCTCCAGCCATCATCATCAGCTCCCCATCTCTCCATACCAGTGGTCGTTATATCCTTTCTGTTACGCTACGTCTAGGTTCTTCTCTACAACTACTACATAAGGCTCACCCACCGAGTATATATGTTTTTTTTATTATTATTAATACATTAGGTACATCTGCATTAGTGCAGCTACCCTAGACTATATGAAGTGGAGTACAGTATGCTAAAAAGCTAAATAGGTGATGCTATAAAATCCCCATCACACAGGATGGTTAGTCATACAGAGGCATGTGATGGGCAGTCTGCACTGGCAGACTCCGGAAGCATTTTGAGGATATCATCAACACAAGATTGAATAAGGTAGCAGTGGTAATACAAGTCCCCATCTCGCAGGATGGTTAGTCATACAGGGCCATGTGTTTAGTAGCCGGCACTGGCAAATTTTGGGTACACTGTGAGGATATCTTCAAGAATACGAGAGTGAATAAAGTAATTGCAAAGCTCCAGGTACATCATGCCAACTGGTCTGAAAGGTCTAATAACTGGGCATTCAGTGATGTAGTGCGGGAGATCGTGCCGTAGTTCCTGCTCACAGAGTTTGCAAGTGGAGTGCTCAGGATTGGGAGATCCGTCACCTGCAGCCACCTGCCACAGGTAACGGTAACCCAACCTGATCCTTGCAACCACTGTGTCGCACAGTCTAGTGGACGTTTTGTGCTGCCCATAGATGTAGGTTTCAGATCTGAACAAATCATAGCTTTTTACACTAGTACTTTCAAGTCGTTGGGAGTCAGTAATTTCTTTCCTATTAAATCTGAATGTTTGGACCAATACAGTTTTGACAGCAGAGATGGGGATACCTAGATCTAATTCAACTTCATCCTTGTTACACGCTAATTTGGCTGCTTTTTTTTATTAATACATTAGGTACATCTGCATTAGTGCAGCTACCCTAGACTATATGAAGTGGAGTACAGTGTGTCAAAAAGCTAACTAGGTGATGCTAAAAAATCCCCATCACACAGGATGGTTAGTCATACAGAGTAATTTGGCACCAATACACAGTTTGTTGTACAAGGCTAAGGGCCGCACCCATCACATTTAACTATCTAAGTATTTTATTTTATTTTTGTTTTGTTTTTGGTTTAACTATAATAATAAGAAGAAAGGGTAGAGAATAAGAACAGGTATGAGTCAAACACTGAGGCAAAATAGGTGTGGGGAAGGCACTTACCAGGTCTGCAGGCAGCGGCATGAGCGGCTTCTTTCATTCCTTAAGAATGTGACAAATATGGCGCACTTTGCGCTTGCCACCTCTTGCAGCTGTTGCTATGAAGAAAACCCTTTGTGTTAATAGATCTTCAACATATATTTGTTCTTCAGAGTAGCAGACGCTTTTCTATCTACAATATCTATCTTCCTACTGCATTAGTACCTACGAGATCAACACTCATATAAGACTACACTTGGACCGGTGGTACAATTATGAACCAATTACATTAACCAAAACACCTCCACTAAAATTACATTACAAATCCACCATGCACAGTGAATATATAAATGAGGAAAAAATAAAATAATGAAATAATCTGTAAAGTAGTAGAGAGCACAACAATTAACTAAAACATAGACATCATCATATAATATAAAGTAAAGAAGAACACCGACCTCTTCATTAACAACAGCCCCAGGCTAACTGAGAACTCTTTACACCGTCGTACGTAGTACATATGTTCACCTGGGGAGCCGGTCGGCCCAGCGGACAGCACGCTGGACTTGTGATCCTGTGGTCCTGGGTTCGATCTCAGGGGCCGGCGAGAAACAATGGGCAGAGTTCCTTTCACCCTATGCCTCTGTTACCTAGCAGTAAAATAGGTACCTGGGTGTTAGTCAGCTGTCACGGGCTGCTTCCTGGGGGTGGAGGCCTGGTCGAGGACCGGGCCGCGGGGACACTAAAAATAGCCCCGAAATCATCTCAAGATGACCTGCCTCCCATGATGGATGTAACCGTCAATGTAAGTACACAGGTATGACGTCGACCAAGCTGACGAGGTGTTTGTGACCTGTCCTCTTCACTCAGGTGCCCACAAAAATCACATGCGAGAAACCTATGACATCTTCCTAACAAGAGAAATGCTGAATAAAAACACTTGCATATTAGACGAAACCTATGACGTAAGATAACTAGTTTTTGAAGCCATACAAAAAAAAGTCGAACGGCCCACCATAAACACTCTAATAACGGAACTATTCACTCTAACCACCATGAGAGTGAGAGCCAGACCGGAAGGCGAAGATGCCAATGATGACGTCATCGCCCAAGCCTCTATGGCCACTATAGTCACTTGAGTGTAAATCACGTGACTTATCTTTGTATGTATTGTTTACTGACCCATTAATTCATTTTTCTTTACTCTTTACTTTCACCTTTCTCCTCACTTAATTTTATATGTACCTGACCTCCCAGCGGTATAAATCCTATGTGCCCTACTGTCTCTTTATTTAAGAATGAAACTTGTAGATTCATAACGTTGTGTTAATTATAATAAGTATAATACAGTTAATTTTGTTCTTTTTATAGGTATATAAAAACAAGCGCCTATTCGAATGCAATGTTGTGTTAAAATTTCAAAGCAATCAGTAAAGAGGTTTCGAAGATTTTCCCTCATGAAAAGCACATGAAAAACACAGTTTTCAAAAAAAGCATGTTTTTTCCCGTCACAGACTTGACATCTATATAATATGTATATAAACACCCGCTCGAATGCCAATAGAAGGATGTGTGAAAATTTCAAAGCAAGCGGTCAAGAACTTTAGGAGATTTGCGATTTTGAACAAACGAACATTTACATTTTTATTTATATAGATATTAATTGTGATAGTTAAATGTGATAGGTAAGAACCTTAGAATTACACATAAGAAAAAATCTACTACTACACATTAGTCTCACCCACTGACATGCTCAGTCGGTGAGACTTGTGTAGTAGTAGAAGGAAAAATCCTGGTGATGGTGCAAGGGAAGAGGATATGACGACACCTGGTGTGTGGTGATGGGCAGGTGATGATGATGGTAGTAGAGTTAGAGCAGGTGAAGCAGGTGGAGAGAAGCACAGGTAACAGGTGTGGAGGAGACCAATCTTAGCACAGTGCCTCTAATTCGTGGTGACAGACACCATTGTGTCTCTCAAAAAAATTCATCTCTCCATATTCCAAATACTTTCTTCTGCCAAAAAATATTGAATGTAAATTAAGACACCTTTTATGTAAATGAGGACTTGAGTGATGGAGAGGCAGCAAAACCATGTAGCTACAACATAGGTTAGTGTCCCACCAGCCTATGTGGGGTATTGACCCACCTTCACCCACCACATGAAACAGTGATAGAACCAATAAAAAGCTCTCTCCCTCCTTACACACAGACACTGTCTCCTTGTACAAGTCATGATGGTAACATTAAACACCTACTATAGACCTTATCTCCACATATCCCAACTTCTTCCTTCTACTAAAGAAATTAACCGCCATAGACGTGCTATACTTGGGATCTTAGTGACAGGAGAACATCGTTAAGATGACGTGACGCTGGTGATGACTGGGGCCCTGGAACTGTGAATGGAATACTTGTATAATCAAATTTGTAAATATTATCGATATCAATAAATTCTATATAATTTTGTGTACAATGTTAATCCTCAAATTCCATGCTTACCACAGTAACATTTGCAATGAGAAAATCATTTGCAGCAATGAGAAGGATTCGAACCTGCACCATGGGTTCTCCCAATCTCTAGCCTTAAACAACTGGACCACGATTCGCTTTAAGTAATGTAACCTGGGAATCAAATGAATACTCTAGGTGTTCGAACCTGGGTTAAAATCTTCCTCGTTACTCCAGCTGATTTTCTCACTGATACATGACGTTAATGTGATCTCTTTGTGCATTTGAAGTGAGAGTTGCATGTGCAACTCCTGCACCACAGCAGAACGCTCGCAGGTTCACGTTGAAACGTTCATTTGGTATCAGGTCGATGCTTCAGGACTCCTGAGGATTCAGTTAAGTCTCGGGTTACATTACTTACAGCGAATATTGTTCCAGCTATTTAAACCAAGTGCTTAAAAGTCCCCAGGATGCCGGTTCGAATCCTTCCTAAGACTCTAACTGATTTTCTCATTGATACATTACGTTAATGTGATTACTTTGTGCAAAATTTCTATTGTTAAAAAAAGGTATTAATATATAAGTAAAATGAAAATAATTAACATGCAAATCTAATGCAGGTTAATAGTATAATGTGAAAACTTTTAACCCTTAGTATGAAACAAACTTCACCTTCTTACATTACATCAAAACCGGAGGTTCACCTGTGATTTGTTTGAAGTTATAATTAAACTGCTTGATATTTTATTGTTTTATTTAAATATAAACTTTAATGTAAATGAATGTCATCAGAAGCCTTGATCCAACTGTAAAGTTAGAAAAGCAGATATTAACTGTGATACTCAGAGTTAGGCGTTTACTTGAAACCATTATAGTTTTTGCGATTTATCTCATTAACACCGGAAAACGTACCGGTTGGAACACTAATCTTGGAAGGTGTAAGGCTGGACCACTAACTCTTGTGGGTGTAGGGGCTGAAGCAATAACATTAAATGAGGTATGGATTGGAACATTAACCCTGAAACCAGAGGTTAGGGTTGAAACATTATTACTCGAATGAGTATAGATTGGGACACTAACACTAGAAGGATTAGGGATTGGAACAGAAATCTTGGAAGAATTACCTCCACGTGGCCCTTAGCTAGGATTATCTCCAATGGCCTTTACTAACTGCCGTTAAATCTCACAAGACAGTTTAGTGTTGAGATATATAAATTTTCTAACCTAAGGAAGACAGCAAAGCTATACTCTACATGAATAATAGAGTAATCGGTAGGTGGCAGTACACTATAAGTTGGCTGTATATTTTAAGTAGGCAGTATATTATATGTTGCCAGAACATTATAAGGTGTCCGTATGTTAAAAGTTGGCAGTTCATTATAGGTTGGTATTATGAGTTTGCAGTAAGCTATGATTTGGTAGTTTATTGAGTTGGCAGTACTTTATGAGTTGGCCTCACTTTATGAGTTGGCAGCCCTTTATGAGTTAGCCTCACTTTATGAGTTGGCAGCCCTTTATGAGTTGGCCTCACTTTATGAGTTGGCATATGTTATCAGGAGGCTATACGGTATGAGTTGGCAGTTTGCTTTGAGTTGAGAGTGCGTTATTAGTTACCGGAGAACGTTAATGGCTGTACATGCTACTGGAAGAACACCCTGAATGTGTGTTAATTAATGAACAACTGGGCTCTTCAGTTAATTTTTTTTAAGACTGACAACTACCTCATAATCCAGAGGCACGATGGATTTAAGATTTTTGTTTCAAATGTCAGCTTAAATAAAAATTAGATTGTATAACTTATTTATTACAATTATTCTTTAATAGAATCAACTTCTGGCAAATGGAAATACGCTATAAGATTTTACTGAATATCCCTAGATCCTCTAATCTCAAAATCTCACTTGTTTTCCGCATACTTTTAAAAATTACTTGTTAAATTTTTGAATATATATATTTTTAGATGGATCTTACCCCATTTAACATCTCACACATATTATTTTTCCTGGCCTATAATATTCTAATATATGTAATTAAATCGTATTTCTTTGTGTGATCCGGCCAAGTCCGAAATGTTAATTGTATGTTACAGCTGAGGAAGATAAATAATAAATGGAATAATAAAGAATAGCTTACTGTCTTGATCAGTAACATTCCAGCAAGTTGTTGGTTGACTATAACCTGTCTTGCTCTCTGCCTCCACACTGGCTGTGACGTTGGTGTAGGGCGGCAAGTTGGTTAAGTGTATTTGATGGTCTGTGGTGGTGGTTTGGTTGGTTGACTCCTCATCACTCCCCAGGACGTCCAACGACCAGCTTATTCTGTGGCCGACAATAGCACACTTAAATTGTGTGTCATTCCAGTTAATGTCCAATGTTGAGGTGTGAACGTCAGAGAACCAGCAGCTCTGTGGTGACGGTGGCACTGTTGGAAAATATTTGGGATGAGCCATAAGGATTAACAATGAAATGTTTTATGGAGGTTTATCTTGGTTAAGAGAAAAGGATAGTTATCTGGAATCATTTGGATCAGGGAATAGAATCTTATACACAAAAATACATGAGAAATGTGAGATTCATAATGGACACAAGACAGAAGTATGCCTTATAATGTCTAAGTCAGACAAGCTCAAGGTCAACAACAACAGGAGCTGTGGTATTACCTGGAGTGTTGGTTGTGCCTGATACTTTAGCCGCATACTGATGATCGTTGTACCTGGATAACACTCTTATATAATAATCTTGACACGGTTCCAGTCCTTCTACGAGGAAGTAAGTGTTGTTTGTATCATTCTCTATAGATTCAGAATCAATTCTGACGATGTAGTAGAGAGGCGGCTCCTCTGGCGGGTCCCACGACACGTTGAGGGCGGTGGATCCCACCGGCGTCGCTGTCACGTTCTCAGGCGGCCCTTCACCTGGACCTGAGGGAGACAATACTGTAAGAGATCACTGACGTCACTACAACGTTCAGGAGCGGTTCTGGACCTGAGGGAGACAATACTGTAAGAGATCACTGACGTCACTACAACGTTCAGGAGCGGTCCTGGACCTGAGGGAGACAATACTGTAAGAGATCACTGACGTCACTACAACGTTCAGGAGCGGTCCTGGACCTGAGGGAGACAATACTGTAAGAGATCACTGACGTCACTACAACGTTCAGGAGCGGTCCTGGACCTGAGGGAGACAATACTGTAAGAGATCACTGACGTCACTACAACGTTCAGGAGCGGTCCTGGACCTGAGGGAGACAATACTGTAAGAGATCACATCAAGTGTGTTTAAGGAGACTCAGATACAAGAGGAAGATACTGTGAACATTAGGTATCAGTAAAGTTCAGATATATTTAAATATTTTGTTGCTGAGAACACCACTGAGGGACACAATGGACCAGAGTGTATAGAGAGATAAAGAGGCAGAAGAGAAAGAAAAGTACAGAGAGGAGAAAGGGAAGAAGAGAGAAGACAACAGGAAGACAAGGAGTGAAGAGAAAGGCAGGGAGAGAGAGAGAGAGAGAGAGAGAGAGAGAAGATATAGGAAAGACAAGAAGATAAAAGATAACGAAAAGCAATTATCAGAACACAAGCAGAGGTACAAGAAAGAAAAGGCGACACAAGAGAAAGACAAGGTGACACAAGAGGAAGACAAGGTGACACAAGAGGAAGACAAGGTGACACAGGAAGAACACAAACAGGAAAAGATGTACAGTTAGTAATGGTTGAAGTGGAGACAGCACACGATGCCAGACTCTACACTTATGGTCTTAATAACCCCCTTTAACTCATTTGTTTGCAAACACTTATACTGTGGTACACTAGGTATAAGTGTTCCTTATACCTCTGTATTAGTAGAGGTTTTTGGTACACCATAGTGTAATAGCAGAGGTCTATATCATCGTGCTCTCTAATAGTAGATGTTTATATCATATGCTCTGTAATAGTTGAGGTTTATATCATGGTGCTATGTAATAGTTGAGGTTTATATCATGGTGCTATGTAATAGTTGAGGTTTATATCATATGCTCTGTAATAGTTGAGGTTTATATCATGGTGCTATGTAATAGTTGAGGTTTATATCATGGTGCTATGTAATAGTTGAGGTTTATATCATGGTGCTATGTAATAGGAGAGGATCACATCGTAGTGCTCTGTATTAGAAGGTGGTCATATAATTGCGTTTTGTAATAGTAGAGGTTCATATTTTGGTGCTCAGTAATAGTAGAGATTTTCATGTCATGGTGATCTGCAATAATAAAGGTTCACATCACATCTTCAGAAGGTCATAGCTGCTCTGCAGAAGGTGCAACACAGAGCAAAAAAAATAATTCCAGAGCTAAGTCATATCTCTTATCAGTAACGGTTGAGGGCCACAGGGCTAACTACGCTGCATATCAGGTATGGCAGAGCAGATCACATTGAAACTTTTAAAAAACTTAACAACTTTGTGGATGGTGATTCAGAAGTAAGTAAGTAATTTTCAAAGAAAGGCACCAAGAAGGGATGTTGATCGAAAAAATTTCTTCAAAAAAGGTGAAATGTAACACAAACCAGGAGCAACGGTTTCAAGCTCAACAAGCCACAATGTAGAAATGAACACTGGAGAAGTTTTTTTTACCCTCAGGGGTTATAAACCCATGGAACCGCCTACCCGCCAAAGTCGTAAAAGCCAAAACTCTGTTAAATTTTAAAGTACAACTAAAAAGGATCATCAAGACAAATGGGGGGACCATCGACAAGCTGCCGGCTTCCTGTCCTCGCTGAGGCCACTAGTGGTAGTGTCCCTCAGGTAAATTCAGGTAATAATGGGTAAAAGTGGATAATAATGATCATAGAGACATTTGGTATCATCTGGAAGATATATTCCAAGAAGCATACAATTATCTGAGTCCCAGATTTTCGAAATACAGTTTACAAGGAGTTAAGACTGGAGCCTAAACAGGCAAAGTGGGCCACTCTGACGTGGAAGTTGACACCTGTGCGACAGATGTCCAAAGTGTGATGGTACATCATTCTGTAGCTAATTAGAGAAAATAATAACGTCCCTAAATGATTAACTAAAATAAATTAAAGATATCACCTGACGTTTACAGAGATCTGGCGTAAAGAGAATACAAAAGAAGACTCCAGTGAATTACAAAAAGACTTAAGCTCAAGTGTTGGAAGGAAATATGGTTAGTAAAGTCTAACGTTCAGGAGTCATGATTAGCAACGATCTGAGGCTGAGACAGTAGTGAAGTGGTGCAGGAAATAAAAGCAACAGGTTGCTGGGATATATAATAAGAATGATCAGCAACAGAAACACACGTATCATCCTTCAGCAACACCTGGCCCCGGTCAGGCTCCACTTGTACCACGCCGTGCAGTTCTGGCCATCAAACTACAGAATGGACGTTGACTAATGAAAAATACAAATTAGTATGACAAGTTATGTGTGAATCTGTTCTCTCTGGAGACGCAGAACAGGTGGGGAGTATGACCGAGACTTCCAAATGAGTCAGGGACATAAACAAGAGTTCCCTGAAACTGTCGGGAAGGGCCAGAACCGGCGACGATGGGTGAAAGCTATAGCAATATAATTTTTGGGGGGATGGATATATGGAAGTATAGGTTTGAAAATTTGGTTTTTGATGAGGTTACCTGCTAGCAATATTGGGAAAATTTGTTTAACATATTTTAAGAAGAGATTTGATCAGAATCAGGATTAGAGAGGGGGGGGGGGCGCTACAGGTATAGGTCAGCAGGCTTGCTGCAATGCTTCTTAATAATTATTTCTCATGTTCCTATGTTCTAAGAAAACTTAATGAGAAATTAACAAGAACCACAAAGAATAAAATAAGAATAGCCCAGGAGAAAGATGAGATGAGTCAACCCAGTGAAGCAAAGTGAAATTCTAAGATTCTTAAAAATCATATTAAACAAACTTGTTATGCTCACACAATTAGATGCTTCAAGTACTTATGAGAACAGTTCACAAAAGAGCAAATAAAAAAGTATTAAAACACCGGAGATCACTCACCTGCAGCCACTAACACAAGGTGTTCATCTTCTTTCTGAAAAAAATAAAATAAATCAATATTTATCCCACTTTCTCACTATTATATTGAGCACACAAAATTGATCAATCACATCTGAACAGTTCAACAAGATAACACCTCGTTAATGTTCAGCCAGGTGCCTCCCATACACTGATGACCTGTCACGACCGTGTTGACAGTAGTGGAGAGCAGTCCGAGTAGGAGAGTGTTGCAGGGGAGTGCAACAGTCTCCCACTGTGCAACAGTAGAAGACTCTTGCAATAGGTCCCACGACACCACAGGACTGTGTTTTGGGACCTCTGCTGTTTACTCTATGTATATAAATGCTTTATTCACCAGAGGTTAAGGTCGGGTGAGGTCAGGGAGAAGGTGAATCGTGGTGAGATCGAGAAGGTGAAGGTCAGGTGAAGGCAGGAAGGAAGTGAAGATCGAGTGCTGAAATATGTGACACTTTATATTTAAGAAAATATTTAGAAAGTGGTGTTTCACTGAAGAATTTTCTTTGGTTGTGTTGAAATGTTTAATGGTTGCTGATACTTCACACTGTTGTGTTGTTCTCTTCTCTTGCTTATAGTGTAGTGTTCTTATAGTTCATGAGATGCTGCGTCTTGCTCCTGTGAGTGACACAAGGTATTGCTGGTGCCACAGACTCGAGTCTTGTGAGGACAGGATGAAGCTGAACGCCAGACTTTCAGCCAGACTTACCTGTATTTCCTCGGTGTCCAGGGCGGCGGCGGCGGCGGCGGCTGTAAGCAAGGCGGCCAGCACCAGTAGACGCCCCGACCACCACAACATGTTGGTGTGGGCTTTGATGCTGTGGCCTGTGGTGCTGTGGGCTGTTGTGCTTTGAGGGTGTGGCGCTGTTGTCTGTGGTGCTGTGGATTGTGGTGAAGGACTGGCCCGGAAGGGCTCCACCAGGCATCTAGTCTGGCCGCTATGATGCCTTATCGTACCTTATCATATCTGAAGTACCCACAATGTCTGATAATCGGGCAGCCTCTTGTCTCTGTTTTAAATGTTGTCAGCGGTCCTGAGGTTGCCAGAACAGTCAGTTAGCACGGAAATGAAGGGAATGTGTCTGCGAGCTCTCGTGTTCTTCACCACATTATCATATACTTATTCATCATGCGCTGGAGGACATGAAAACACTTAGACTTTTATTTTATTAAATTTTGTGGGGTGTTTTTGCGTTTTTTTTTCAAGCCTGTGAAGCTCTTCATATACACTCATACCTGCGATGATTTCCACACACACTCACACGTGTTGGTCTCACACTTATGATGAACTCCACACTTGTGTTGGTCTCCAATGTGAGGGAGGGGAGTCGGTCGGCCGAGCGGACAGCACGCTGGACTGTGATCCTGCGGTCCCGGGTTCGATCCCGGGCGCCGGCGAGAAACAATGGGCAGAGTTTCTTTCACCCTATGCCCCTGTTACCTAGCAGTAAATAGGTACCTGGGTGTTAGTCAGCTGTCACGGGCTGCTTCCTGGGGGTGGAGGCCTGGTCTAGGACCGGGCCGCGGGGACACTAAAGCCCCGAAATCATCTCAAGATAACCTCAAGAAGGGGGAATGGCAGGGAGAGAAAGTGGGAGAATGGTAGGGAACGAAGGTAAAATAAGATTAAAGTATGATTAGAGAGAGAGAGAGAGAGAGAGAGAGAGAGAGAGAGAGAGAGAGAGAGAGAGAGAGAAATATTAGACAGAGTGAAGTGGGAAAAAAACAATACATTGAGGGTTGGAGAAAGGACACCCGAGTGCATTTGTAAACTCTGCGGTGGAAGTGAAGACACTCAACAGATTTGGCTGAGTTGTCTGACCACTTAAGTAAAGTGTCTTCCCTCCCTCCTGGGATATGAGACGTTGGCAGACAGCTTCCCAGAGGTGTTAGAGACACGAGAGGTGTCGGCAGAAAGGACAGCACTGGTGTTTGCTTGAAGGTTGGTTAATTATTAACACAACCCCAAATATTGGGACCTGTGTCAGAGAGAGTAGACTATCACACAAAGTAAGTACCAGGGTAATTTATCTCTCATTTAAACATCACAAAGGATGGGTAGGGTCCAGAGTGTTGTTGATTCAGGAAAGCCTGAGCATCTAGAAGGGTTTACGAACGAACAGTTAAAGCAAATTGCAGAGATACAGCATCAGGGTCAGTGTGTGTGTGTGTGTGTGTGTGTGTGTGTGTGTGTGTGTGTGTGTGTGTGTGTGTGTGTGTGTGTGTGTGTGTGTGTGTGTGTGTGGTGTGTGTGTGTGTGTTTACTAGTTGTGTTTTTGCGGGGGTTGAGCTTTGCTCTTTCGGCCCGCCTCTCAACTGTCAATCAACTGTTTACTAACTACTTTTTTTTTTTTTTTTTTTTTTTTTTTTTTTTACACACCACACACACACACCCCAGGAAGCAGCCCGTGACAGCTGACTAACTCCCAGGTACCTATTTACTGCTAGGTAACAGGGGCATTCAGGGTGAAAGAAACTTTGCCCATTTGTTTCTGCCTCGTGCGGGAATCGAACCCGCGCCACAGAATTACGAGTCCTGCGCGCTATCCACCAGGCCCCGAGGCCCCAGTGTGTGTGTGTGTGTGTGTGTGTGTGTGTGTGTGTGTGTGTGTGTGTGTAAATGCTCGTAATTCACTGATATTGACTCTTGTTAGTTATTTCACTGTAAACACTACTGAGCTCTTTCTTATGATTTGAGGAGCATTACATATGAGGTGTTAGTCACCCCAAAGGTGTTCGACCTGAGGCAACTCCCCCCTAACCTACCAAGGATGCTAATCATTCAACCAGTCCTAGAAAGAACGTCGCTTTTCGCTGGTAAACGTTACATTTGACCATAAATGGACGTTCTAGAAAACGGAAGCGATTCACGAAAGTGACGTACTGTCCTGTTTTCTCTTTTGGGTCCTCAGGTAGGTTAGAAGACGACACTTGAAATTGAACGTTTTCTTAATTTGGGAAATCTTAGGAGGACTTGCTGAATTATTAACCCCCCCTTAAAAAAAATTCCAACATTATGTCGCGCTTCACACAACTACTATTTTTACGCTGTGGTTCGTCAAGATTGTGACGCCATAACTGTAGCAGCAAGTTACAACTTGTGGACTTAACTTCCAACCTAAAACGTTCTTAACACGATGGTGTTCAGTTCTTCACTAAACCTCTGGGGTTTAGTGTGGGGTATAGAGATACTTTTGGGAGAGTGTATATAAATGTTGGTAATTAGGAAAAATAATATTGCTAGGTCAAAGTTGGCCAGGGTGAGGTGAATGCTGCCAAAAAACGTATTATCAACTGCGACCATGTGCTGAATTTTCACATCACTATCTCGCTGTCAGATATATGTGAGGACGTGTTGTCAGATATATGTGAGGACGTGTTGTTGGGAAGGACATCATCTTCCCCTTCTCCCCGCCCCCCTACTGAACTGGGTGTGTGTTGCTGTGAAGGACAATCCCCCTCTTATTAGGCTGGGTGTACTGTTGTGTGTACTGGGTGTACTCTCCCCCTACACTGAATTGGGAGTGTTGTGAAGACAGGTCCACCAACTATGTTGAATGTATAGTTGTCAAAGACACTCCCTACACTAAGATGGGTTGTGAAGGACTTCAGTGTGGTATATATATATATATATATATATATATATATATATATATATATATATATATATATATATATATATATATATATATATTTATACAGAGTTGAGAGAGAAAGAGCGCAAGGCATAAGGCTTAAGATTGATCCTAGTTCCATGATCTATGTAATATGTTGTAATTGCGTTGAGAGCTATGATCAGTGATGGTTGACCATACAACACACCATACAACACACCATGCAACACACCATACAACACACCATACAACACACCATACAACACACCATACAACACACCATACAACACACCATACAACACACCATACAACACACCATACAACACACCATGCAACACACCATACAACACATCATACAACACACCATACAACACACCATACAACACACCATGCAACACACCATACAACACACCATACAACGCACCATGCACACCATACAACACACCATACAACACACCATACAACACATCATACAACACACCATACAACGCACCATACAACACACCATACAACACACCACACAACACACCACACAACACACCATACAACACACCATACAACACACCATACAACACACCATACAACACACTATGCAACACACCATACAACACACCATACAACACATCATACAACACACCATACAACACACCATACAACACACCATGCAACACACAATGATGATATATAATGCGTACAATGTACAATGTGGGCCGATGATAACGCTCCACTGCAGAATGTATTATCTGATATTTAACGTTTTCCGTTGACACTGAACAGTTCCCAAATTGTTGCGTCTCTACTCTTATGTTATCACTTGTCATGACTTTATTAATGAATAATAAATACAATATTATTCATTGTATTTCAATCACAACATCGCTCCATATTTATTTACGAATGGAGAGACACAGTGAATTTATGGCAATAAATGCTTGACAAAAAAATGTTAGAGCGAAATATATTGTTCAACATGATTACAAGAATTCCCAGAAGAGCTTCGCGATACCATACGTACTTGGCCGCCAGTAACCATACGTACCTGGCCGCTAGTAACCATACGTACCAGGCCGCTTGTAACCATACGTACCTGGCCGCCAGCAACCATACGTACCTAACCGCTAGGAACCATACGTACCTGGCGGCCAGTAACCATACGTACCTGGCCGCCAGCAACCATTACATCATTACGGAGTCAGAGATCACTCCCTCCAATACCTTCAGTCTTACCTTACTGACAGACTCCAGTATGTTTCTGTGAATAATTCCATTTCTCTCACCCTACCCATCAACATTGATGTTCCTCAGGGCAGCATACTCGGCCCTCTCCTCTTTCTCAACTACATTAATGACCTTCCAAATGCCTCAACACCTCAACCTAATTTTATTTGCTGATGACACAGCCTTCATTTTCTCCTGTCCTAACTCTGTTTTTAAGTCAGCATGTCAGGGAACCCACAAGAATGAAAGGAAACGATGAACCAGCGAGACTCGACCTAGTCTTCACTCTGAACGACTCCGACATAATGGAAATCGGTTTCGAGGTCCCAGTAGAAATGAGCGACCACAGTGTACTGATGTTTGAGTATCTGGTTGAAAAAGGATAAATGAACTCGAGGAGGGGTACTGAAAACAAAAGGCTGGCATTCCGAAAGGGAAACTATGAGGAGATAAGAAAATTCCTAACAGATATAACATGGGAAACAGAGCTCAGGGGAAAGACGACCCAAGACATGATGGACTGCATCACGAAGAAGTGTAAGGAGGCAGCAGATAAGTTTGTCCCGGACCAAAATAAAAACAATAAAATGAAGATGCGAAACCCATAGTTTAATCAGAACTGTAGGCTAGCTAAGCAGCATAGTAAAAGGGCATGGAGAAACTATAGAAATAACAGGACACTTGAGAGCAGAGAAAGAGTTCCAGGAATGAATATGTCAGGTTGAGAAGAGAGGCAGAAGGGCAATACGAAAATGATATAGCAAGCAAGGCAAAGACTCAACCTAAATTTCTGCACAGCCACATCAGGAGAAAAAGAACAGTAAAGGAACAGGTAATGAAAGTGAGAATAGGGGCCTTGTCGTTTGTAGATTCACTACAAACGACAAGGAAGTGTGCGAGGAACGGAATAAAAAATTCCAGGAGGTCTTCACAATAGAGCAAAACGAAGTTCCAGAGATAAGAGAGGGAATAGTTAACCAGGAACCACTAGAAGAGTTTTAGATTACCAGTGGGGAAGTAAGGAAGCTTTTGTTAGATTTGGGGTCTTGATACCCTGAGCCAACCCAATTAACACAAATATTAAACGACCGAGCAAAACATCGGAGCAGTACCCAGAAAAGGGATGACGT